TTTCTCAAAACACGTGGCTAGGCTCATGTTTGTTGTGCCATGATCAGCCGTCACCCGTCCGCCATCAGCCAGTTATTGGACAGGAGCAGCAATGTACTCAGTATCAGCTCCAGGCTGTCGTATTTAGTTTACTGAAATTTTGCGGGTCTGGCGTCACGTTCATTCTTCGGTGACGCCCTTTAGTTTGCTAGGTCAAAAACTTATTTACACGCCACAGTCACTCTTGCCCAAAAACTAGCACTGATTTTTTGAACATTCAAGCAACAGTTATAATCTCGTTTTTATGATGAGCCTTATGTTCTTTTAGATAAACGGACGGCGTAAACGAAACTAGGATAAGTTTCTTCTAGTAAACTCCTGTGGACCATGATTCACTCGTTATAAATGACTTTGAAACATTGTTTCATTGATTCATCATCTACCCTACCACTGATAAACTCGTTATGGTTATTTGAACGTTGGTTTGGTGGCTCAATTCGCCCCCAACCGATGTCTAAGAGTCACCTGACAGTAAAAAAAACGGGCTAATGTTTGTTGATGTCAAACACATGGGTACAGACTGGCATGTGCACTGATAGAACCTGTGGAACCGCACTTGCGTACGCAACCCTAGTGCATGCAATAGGACGCATCTCCTCTCCATATTATTACTGATAATAATCATCTTGTCTCATTTCCCACTCACACTATTTCCAGCACATTTTAGGTAATGCTAATTACTTACTTGTGGGTGCTTACAAAAAGCGGGAATTTCAGGCGGTTGATTGATCTTATCAGCAGCTTCTTTGCCTTCCAAAAGCGAATTGGGCCACACTTTACGAATAAAATACCTTCGAATAGACTGTAGGAATTGTCCTGGTGCGAACTTGACAGACGCAAAGGACAATCACTAATTATTCCAACGAATACGAATACGAGACCAAGGAGGAACACGATAGCGTAGTCGGATGGAATAGTATATTTGGGTGGTTGTGTCGAGATGCTGACGCGTTCCAACTGGCTAGAGAGTCGAATACGAGCAATGCAACGTAACACGACAGCGTGCCGAATGGCGAGGATGCTTGACTGTGTGCCTTCAGCCTGGCGAGTCCAGTTAAACTATCAAGGTCGGCACCAATGTTGAATGTCGTTGAACCCTAGGCTATTGATTTTGGGGAAGTGTGTGACGCTACAGATCACTCCCCCTTAGTGGGTGCGTGAGGACCCTAAGACGATACCAGCCAGAAGTAAAAACCCAGTGGTTTCTCCACTGGTAAAACTCTTCCGATGGGCTCACTGCGTGAAGTGGCCCCTGGTTGTCTGAACTTATTCTAGGGTGTCGTTGCAAATGAAAGATGAAGTGCAGTAAATCGAATTGTACGTCGATCGCGGTCCGCAGTTCGTTTTGACGTTCCGTCCGGTGGAATATAAATAAAAGTCTTTAATAACATGAAAGTGGAAATTATTTGCATATAAACATGTGGAAAAATAAAAATTTACGCTTGTTTTCACCTTTTTTTAAAGTTTCGCTACATGGTAATAAAAATTGATATAAAAAGACAAAGTGTACGAGGGTTTGCGGATTGCGGGTAAATAAGAAAAATAATGCCTCCGAAAAAAATTTCTAAGTAAAAAAATGTGGCTGGCACATTTTATTTCACACCGCTAAGTTGAATACGACTTTAAATACTCCGGGAGCCTGGTGGTTCGACCTGATCGTGTTTTCTGTTGCGCCAATGGTTGTTGCAACTGTGCATTACCAGGGACATCGTCAAGAATTTCGATAATTGAGTAATCCGTCGGCCGGCTGTAGCCAGCTGAAACGTCACTCATAATGGAGTTGCCTTCGAAGTAAGCTGGTTTCAAACGGTCGATACTGACAGTATCTTCACGTCCGTTTCTGTCTATTATGTAAAATTCCTCGTGTCGCTTGATCACTTTGAATTGCCCGACGTAGGGTGGTTCAAGTGGTCAACGAACGGCGCCGTGGTGAATAAACACGTGTAATGTCTTTTGTAAAACGGGGTGAACGAAGACATTAGTCATTTGAGGTCTAACAGGGGAAGACCTAACTGAACGCATTGCGTTTGCAGGCCTAGTCACGTACGATGCCCTGTCGGGAACATGTTTGAAAGTTGAAGGGGAAACAAATTCACCTGGTAGGCGAAGAGTGGTCCCATAGACGAGTTCTGCAGGGGTGCATCTAGCATCAACTTTCAAGGCGTTACGAATACCTAGTAGGACTAGGGGCAGGGCCTCGGTCCACTGAGGTGTGTTTGCAGCTGAAAGGGGAGCCTTCAGCTGTCGATGGAAACGCTCTACCATGCCATTTGCTTGTGGATGGTGGACTGACGTTCGGAACCGGGTGCAAGCTAAAAGTGCCGTTATAGTGTGAAATAATCCACACTCAAATTGGCGCCCACAATCGGTTGTGACGTAAGATGGACATCCGAAGTTCGAGATCCATCTTTCGACGAAAACACGAGCAACTGTTTCAGCAGTAATATCCTCAATACGTGCTGCTTTCGGCCATCGTGTGGAACGATCAACACAAGTGAAAAGGTAGGTTTATCCATTAGATTCTGGTAGAGTTCCCACAATATCTATAAGGATATGGTCGAAACGCATGTCTGGGTCTGGGAAAGAGCCTAGAGGGCTTTTCGTGTGTGGTGGGACTTTGCACTTTTGACAAGCTTAACACGACCGAGCCCACTCCTTAACGTCTTTGTTCATCCCAGGCCATCGGAAACGTTGTGCGATAAGCCTAATGGTGGCTCGTACACCTGGATGAGAGAGTTTGTGCAACGTATTGAAGACGTTGCGTCGACAACTCTTCGGAACTATTGGGCGTGGTTGACTAGCAGAGACATCGCACGAGATTGTATCCTTGCCTGATCCTACCGGATACAGTCGTAGCTCGAGAATTGTGGACGACACCTCATGATGCAGCTCAAGGTCTTCTTTTTGACACCGAGCTAATTCAAGGACATCAACGCCCTCAATACGGTTTGTCGAAGCCATTCATGATAGTGCGTCGGCTACGGAGTTATTTGCTCCAGAAACATTGCTGATATCTGGCGTGAACTGGGGAGTGTAGTCCAGTTATCGTGACCCACCCAAGTTGAGGTAGGCATACTGTCTCCCAAATGTCGCGACTGCCTTGCCGTTGGCTGCTTGAAGATTGAAGGATGGGTCAAGATGACGCTTTTTTGTCCGTGCAGGAAGAACGCTAACTTCTGTGCCGGTGTCGACGAGGTAGCGAACTTTAAATTTTATGTCGGTGACGCAGAGCAAACGGCTGTTTCCGCCGGCTACGGTTGCCGTGAACACGTGCCGGCGTGACCGTTTTCCGAGTTTGTGTCCTTGTCAAAACTGCATGTCTTCCGACATTTTCTGGCTTCGTCTGCGTATGTCTTATGAAACTGGTACCATTCAGGTTTTTCCACCCTTTTAGGTTAAGTTTTGGGGCAACCGCACGAGTTGCTGCGATGCGCTAAGATAGGTTTCTGTGAAGCGCTGCGTAAAATAGGACTTCGAGATCGTAGCAACTGTTTAACAGAGTTGTACAGCTTGGTCACCTCCGAATCCTGGCGCTCTGGTTTGTCGCAGACAGAATACACGTTGTAGATGGGTCTGCCAGAAATCTCCAGTATTTTATCTGCCGAGGCTGCCGGGTCATCCAGTGGGACTGACTGCAGTGTCACCAACACGGTTCGCACCGGTTGTGGTAGTTTTGAGAGAAATAGTCATCGAAAAAGGCCACTATCGAATGTTCGTGCACCCAAAACTTCTCGCATGTGTGCGAGGACTTCAGTAGCTGAGTGGCTGCCTAGCTCGATGTTACGAAGTAATTCGTCTGGGCGCTGGTGACCTGCGAGATCGCTGTTCTTTAAGAGTGCGGCCTTGAGAAGTACATAGGGATCACTTACTTCAGGATTAAACATCTGTGCCCTAACATGTCTGTTTAATTCCCTCTGTAGTGAACGTACGACGGCACGAAATCGAGAATGAGGATCTGAGACACTCTGTTCTCGAAACCCGGCCTCGGCATACAGAAACCATGTTTCTCCATTGTTTGGCCAAGATGGCACGAGTTGGATCGTGTTCGTGGTCGGCTTAATAAGAATAAGCTTGGGAGTGTGGTCGGACATGAGAAAGTATAGTAAATGGATATATATATGTTATCTAAATGAAAACAATATACAAATATAGAATGGAACAGGCTCACCAATTCAATATTTGTTATCGGTCGGGATATGTGATCACGTCGGGATATTTGATCACGTCGGGCTCACCAATTTAGGACTTGTCCTGGTGCGAACTTGACAGACACAAAGGACAATCACTAATTATTCCAACGAATACGAATACGAGACCAAGGAGGAACACGATAGCGTAGTCGGATGGAATAGTATATTTGGGTGGTTGTGTCGAGATGCTGACGCGTTCCAACTGGCTAGAGAGTCGAATACGAGCAATGCAACGTAACACGACAGCGTGCCGAATGGCGAGGATGCTTGACTGTGTGCCTTCAGCCTGGCGAGTCCAGTTAAACTATCAAGGTCGGCACCAATGTTGAATGTCGTTGAACCCTAGGCTATTGATTTTGGGGAAGTGTGTGACGCCTTACGACAATCCAAAACCATAAGCAGGAAAACGTATAGACCTGTAGAACCGTTTAAGGAGTACGATCGAACAAAAAGGACCGTGCTTCATGACTTGAAAACGAGGGCTCAGAAACTAAACGATTCTCTTCTTGCACTGCTGATGTTGGATGTTGGAGTGCAGGCTCTCCGCATGAGTGGTCACCTGTTGGAACTTGTTACTTAAGAAAGTAGTATGAGATGCTTTGGTGTTCGCATCCAATGAACAATCGTAACTTTATGGATATAATTACTACAAGGAGTAACACAGGCTAATGGACTACTATGCTTTTGTTGAAAATCGAATATGCATAACCTGGTGAGTATATTTTGAGTTTTTCAGGAACGCGCTCTGTTCAGTTTCTAGGTCATTTTAGTATGAGTGTTAATATACCGAAACTATCAGAGTCTCCGAAAGTCTCTGAGTTGAGTGATTTTTGCCCGGCACTTAACTTATATCTTAAACCAATTGCACGTGTTTGTATAACAGTTCAGATCCCCTTGCTCCATGATACATCTGGTCAGTTAAAATCCTTCACTACGTGGGAAATAATCGAAAAAATTCGACAACTTTGTCCTGGAATACTTGCCCCATCAACTGTGATGAAAGTGGTTCACACTACATTAGAATTCGTTAGGTTTTCGGTTGATCTGGAATGTAAATCAGATGTCAGACGTGTTGTTACAAGTTTGGAAAGTCAGGTAACCTTCCCCTATATAACATTTTCATATGTATCAAGATTAACTATATAGTTATTATGTATCTTCAGCCTAGAAGGTTCACAAGCCACTATTTTTCGGTGGAAAGTGGTTTATACGTTATAATCCAGTTAATCTGCACTAAATACTGTTGTTTATTTGGTTATTTCAGTTAACATGAATTTTCTTAACATGCTGAGATCTAGGAAGCATATCATAGGGCTCTTGGCTTAGAATTCATGGCATCACAAAAGGAGTGAATGGATACTTTTTCCTATGGGTTTGTGTTATTTCGCCTTCATTCATTTCCTGCGGTTTCTTATATATTTGTCTGCAGCTTTGGTGACATCTTAGTATTAATCCACAGTAGTGCAGATTAGAAAGATAGACGATGGACTCAAATGCCATCATAGGGAATGTAGGGAAGTAGCTTTATATATGACTCTCACCGAACATCTTATGGACGTTGACGTTTTAGCTCAGTCATTATTAGATTATTCGATATAGCACACGATGATAGAGTATTATTTAGTGTGTGCTGTGTCAAATAAAAAGTTAATATGGAATTATATTCTGCCATAGTGCCCAAGTTTTAGTCCACTTATTCTGACAAAGCTAGAGTTGACTGCACAACTCTTACGTGACTTATCCATTTTGCGAAGAATAGAAAAGTTGCGGTGATCAACGTTAAACGTTTGGTATGGTTAATAAAAGAAACTGATCAGGTAAAACTGGGCAGAAAATTGACGAGTTAGGGATTCGGTCACAGGATGAGATTAAGACATATGCAGGGAACTAAGGATCAGGTAAATTGACCTCAATACACTGTTCATCCACCAACTATTCGATCAGATCCTGATTCGGATATTGATATGTGACATCTAACTCTTGTTATCTTCTAGAAAACAAAAGGTAATTGGGAGGGGAGAAGAGTATCAGGCCATTATTTTGTTAACGTAAGCGGCACTAACTGGAGTTGGGATGTTTAAAATGTTCTTGTGTAACTGGTTCTAATAATTGACCGCTCTAGTTTTCAAGTAGGCTTGGCCTGAATAGTTCAATACTAGCATCTCTTACCTCATTAATGGAGATTTCTGATTAATGAAGGCATAATCTTAGGGAATACAAATGATTCTCATTTTTTTTCAAAGAAGTATGTTAGTGATTTTGTTTCCTTGCTTCTTGGCCTACATATTTACCTTTTGAGTATTGGATCCCAAGTTGAAATTTTGCTTTGCCTGATTCGGCATGAAAAACAGGATAGTGTCATAGTCCTTTGTTTGTAAGGTGTAGGTTATTATCCGGAACTTAGGACCATACTGACCTGCTGAGTTGTACTAGTTTATTTTTTCAAGAAAGGAGAGAAATCCTTTTGTAATGGTTACGGAAAAATTAACTTGACCAACATAATGTCTAGGATTTTAGCTTCTAAAATCAGCCAATGCCTAATCAGCGTTTATAAACAAAACTTTAAAAAAATATGTAGAATTCATATATGGCTGTCGGTGGATTACTGACCTATAGTCGACCAGCATATGAGAAATGCAGCAGTTAGGTCTACTGTATTTGCTTAGGTAAGTAGTTTGATGCAGCCTTAAGCTATCATCAACTGAATTGTCTGGGTTGTATCTCTCATGCTGAACCATCGTCTATTTTAATCCACATGGCGATGTTTTCTGGAGAAAACTTAATAAAAGTCATATGAACTTTCGACTTCTTGAGGTTATATCAAAACATGAATGGTTTCTAGCAAACTAAATAGTTGGTGAAGTGTATGCAAGTACTACGACTAGTGCGACCCCTGACCTTCACCAGTCTATTTCTAGGACAACTTTACAGTCACTTACTGGTTCATGTACTTGTAGACTTAAAGATTAAACCTGCTGTGTGAGGACTAATATTACTGCTTGTTTCTCTACAGTTCGGGCGTTATTGCATAACGGTTTAGATTTTCACACTGATCAGCACATCAGGCCAGAAAGCACCAAGGTGAAAGATGAAGAAATAGGAAAGAATCTATCAAAAGCACTAACTGGAGTTGGGATGTTTAAAATGTTCTTGTGTAACTGGTTCTAATAATTGACCGCTCTAGTTTTCAAGTAGGCTTGGCCTGAATAGTTCAATACTAGCATCTCTTACCTCATTAATGGAGATTTCTGATTAATGAAGGCATAATCTTAGGGAATACAAATGATTCTCATTTTTTTTCAAAGAAGTATGTTAGTGATTTTGTTTCCTTGCTTCTTGGCCTACATATTTACCTTTTGAGTATTGGATCCCAAGTTGAAATTTTGCTTTGCCTGATTCGGCATGAAAAACAGGATAGTGTCATAGTCCTTTGTTTGTAAGGTGTAGGTTATTATCCGGAACTTAGGACCATACTGACCTGCTGAGTTGTACTAGTTTATTTTTTCAAGAAAGGAGAGAAATCCTTTTGTAATGGTTACGGAAAAATTAACTTGACCAACATAATGTCTAGGATTTTAGCTTCTAAAATCAGCCAATGCCTAATCAGCGTTTATAAACAAAACTTTAAAAAAATATGTAGAATTCATATATGGCTGTCGGTGGATTACTGACCTATAGTCGACCAGCATATGAGAAATGCAGCAGTTAGGTCTACTGTATTTGCTTAGGTAAGTAGTTTGATGCAGCCTTAAGCTATCATCAACTGAATTGTCTGGGTTGTATCTCTCATGCTGAACCATCGTCTATTTTAATCCACATGGCGATGTTTTCTGGAGAAAACTTAATAAAAGTCATATGAACTTTCGACTTCTTGAGGTTATATCAAAACATGAATGGTTTCTAGCAAACTAAATAGTTGGTGAAGTGTATGCAAGTACTACGACTAGTGCGACCCCTGACCTTCACCAGTCTATTTCTAGGACAACTTTACAGTCACTTACTGGTTCATGTACTTGTAGACTTAAAGATTAAACCTGCTGTGTGAGGACTAATATTACTGCTTGTTTCTCTACAGTTCGGGCGTTATTGCATAACGGTTTAGATTTTCACACTGATCAGCACATCAGGCCAGAAAGCACCAAGGTGAAAGATGAAGAAATAGGAAAGAATCTATCAAAAGCAGTAGAAAGTTGTAAAGAAGAAAAAGGAGAAACAAAAAACTACTGAATTCAGTGTGACAGTTGAGATGGAGACAGCATGTGGATGGATCTGTGCCAGTGACGTCGTTCTTACCCATGTCACGTAGTCCCCGACCACTGGTTTCTGTTAACTTATGACCCCAACCCGGAAATTTATATTTTCTTACACGGTTCAGACCAATATTCCAAGGTTTCATAGGTTAATGCCGTATTTTAGTCCGGCCGTCTCTGACCTTTTTTGTTCGAAACATACTTCGGCTAACACTAAGCAACAAGGCAGACGATGACTAGACAAGAGTAACACGTGTCCCAGTCACCTGAGTATATGAGGATTTACAACCTCAACAACTAACTTACCCCTCCTCCCTAAAACTCTACACCCGGCTTCTGCGTTACTCACGTGATGACACCACGACGTGGCCTTTACTATGAAAGCAGCATCCATTTGGGTTCAGGAAAGGGGTAAGTTGAATGCTTTAACCGACCGGACTCAACTTTTCGATCTCTATGCATGGTTGAGCGTGGTGAACAGCTTAACGTACCGTAATAAATAATGCTACTAGCTTTCTAAACATACTCAGATGAACCTTCTATCCATACAACTTGAAGTACAGAAAGTAAAACAGTTCAGCATATCATTTTAAACTTACTTGAAATAGTATCACTATTACGGAAAAAATCGAATCGAAATTCATTCAGGAACTATGTGCATACTCATGCAGTAGACATTGAGCCACACCTATTGTTTGAGAACTGATTTTACTGCTTGGTTGTATAGACCTAGATAGGTCGAGCGGAGTTCAAACCCCAGACCCAGACAGAACCAAGGTAGAACCTCGCATACATGTGTATCGGTCCAAGTTGCCGCAATTCACAGTAGTATACAAAGAACAGGTGGATAGAAAAAGACCGATATCAAAATAGGTGAAGGTTAGTGCGAATATTCAAGTCTTAGAAAACGTCAGAGCGTGAATACATCTGCGCCATTATGACTGATTTTCAGTCATCTTACCAAAAGTCCTCAACCGCTGATTTATATCGTCTCGGGGACCGCAACCAGGTAGTCTACATCTCCCCACACAACTCAAACCAACAGTCAAAGGCTTCATCGAATGGTACTAGGTCTTGATCTGGCCACCCTTAACCATCTCCCAACCTAATACAGCTTCCCCTAGCATGGCACATCTAGGTAGGCGGTGAATAAGCATGCGCAACACGTATCCAAGCCACCTCAGTCGACTAAGGTTCACAACCTCATCAATTAAACCCCATAACCTGCTGGTTAAGAATCTAGTGCCACTAGCATTAATATCACGTTTTCGTCAGTTTATATTGATGTGAGTGCTAGGTGATCTGAATCATCGATGTGCTTAACCGGTAACGAGGCTGTACATCATATTTTCCCCTGAGTATAGGTATAAAGTTGGACAACATTTTCGCTGTTAAGAAGACAACTAAATTGCAGTCTCAAGTTTGTTTTAATCTAGGCGTCTTCTCAGTAGTCTATCGGGTCATTTTATTTTCTGGAATGTGAAAATATATAAACTTTTTAATGAGTATACATTACCAAGCCATCTGTGACACCATTTATGTGTAAAGATGCTTCATAGCTATACAGGTTGACGTAAATGGATCGCCATTGGAATTGACCATTACATTTTTCGGATAAAGTCTAGTCCTTTAGTGATTAAAATATGACTTCATAGGAATATGTACTCTTCCTTTTGGTGAACAAGTGTTACAGCTGGTGATATCTGGAGAATATAACTCCCTACTGTGTAAATCCTAAAGTTTTATCAGATGCTTGGTGTTAAGGCACTTTAATAGGTAGTTTTACTTTGCATTCAGTTATTCATTTCCTGGTATTCTGAGCAGCATGGTGTGGGATGGGGTTGGAATACATGCACTTAGTCAGGGGTCCTTGTGGAGCTTCATTCCAACGATCTAAGTACTGGATTTTAAATCAGTGAGTCACGGGTTCAAAACTCTGCCCTCCAACCAACTGCATTCTAGGTAGCCACCAAGTGTTACTAACCCCAACACAATGTGTTGATTGACCAGTGCATCAACTTGCACATAGTTACTGAGATTTATATTTAGTAAATTGGAACATGAAAACACCTCCAATCTAACATGCTGAATGCTAAATTGAAGTAAGTAATAATTTGTGTACTGATATCCCCAAATATTTTCAAGCCTAAATAAGTTCATTTTACTGTTAAAATATATTAAGTTTTAATTCATCACCATTATATTTCAGTTCATCAAGTTAAGTGGCTTTCCGCAAAATCTTCGAGTTCGTGCAAGTGAAGCTCCTTATGACTGTCCAAGACGTCATGATTGGGAGGCATTTTTTCGTGATGCTCAAAATATGGATGAAACTAAATCTGGTGAGAGACCTGATACTCTTGTACTCACTGGTCTTCCTGTCAGATGGTTTGCTAGTGCATCACACAACAGACCATGCTTTAGCGTTAATAGTGGTTACACTAATAGCAGTTACTTATCGCTCCTTGTTGATGAAGAGAAACCCAATCCTTCAATTCTAAAGGAAGCATTTGAAGTGAGTGTAATGTTGTTCAACTTTGATATTTCTCTTTAATTTTTGTTCGCTCTATCTTAAACTGGTTCACTATTTTGTGCACCCGACTTCTGATCGCCGCATTGAATCTGTCAATAATCACAGTGGTTTAGTCAACCAGATAGTGTCATTAGTCTTCATATCGCAGATGTGAATATATAAGTGCTAACTGAATACTATTAGCATCATTGTATGTGTTTCTAGGTTGTCATCCGGTGCTCAGTATGACATGTTCAACAAAGGACCGGGTATTACTGCGTAACGGTCCGAGTTGCCACAGCTCATATCGGCAAATCAAGTAAAAAAGCAGTGAAGTGCAAGAACAAGGTAAAAAAAATTCAGTCAAAAGAAATACAAAGTACTGAAAGAGAGAAAGGAAGAATGAGAAAATGGTGAGATTCAGTATAGCGTTAAGATGAGGATAATGTGTGTACACTTCTGCACCACTGACATCTGTTCTCAGCCATGTGATCACCTACAGTCTCCAACCACTGGTTTCTCTTGTCCCGTGGACCCAAACTGGCTAGTCTATATCTCCCCACATGGCTCAAACCAACAGTCAGAGACTTTATGCATTGATACCATGTTTTAGTCTGGCCATCTTAGGCCTTTTTGCAGCCCTGACCTACTTCAGCCAACATTGTGTGACGAGACAATCGGTGACTAGGCATACATAACACGTGTTGGAGCCAATCATCTCAGTTGATGAAGGTTCACAACCTCGTCAACTGATTTCCCTCTTCTCCTAACTTCTGCATTACTCACATGGTGACACCACGGAATACGACGGCCTATACTACGAAGGCAACGGTGGTCAAACAGATGAAGCCTTCTCATGTCCTCCACCTTCAATGGCCATATTTCACAGGTATACAGTAGAAGAGACCGGACTGCTGTGCAGTACAAGCGACTCTTAATAGACAAACGGATATCACGGCGACGCCATAGGTGGCGTAAATTGGCAAAAGCCAACCAAGCCTTTTGTATCTGTGCATAGATTTCATTGTCAACTGACCCACCAATGCAGGGTTGATCCTACTCCCCAGGAGGTAAGTGAAGTGGTCGACACACTCAACCACTACACTGTCTATTGTTAGCCGTGGCAGAGTTGAAGACCAATCCTGGAGCAGCAATTTGCATTTGGATGATGAGAAACGCATCCCAAACATCCTCAAATTGCCACTCAAAGTGTTCAGAAGACTGCATCTTGTCAGTGTCTTCACCTAATAGGACTATGTCATCTGCATATTCTAGGTCTAACGAAAAGTCTCCTGTTATTAGGTCAACCTCTGTGTAACCAGGTGACGAGAGGGAAAATCTCCATAAGAACATCTATAATAAAATTGAATAAGAATGGAGAGAGTGGGCACCCTTGACAGACACCACTCGACGAGCGTAGCTGCCTGCACATCTCACCATTAACTCTAACACTCCCACAAGTGTTCGAGTAGAGAGCCTTCAATAGGGTGATGTATTTACTTGGCAGGCCTTTCACTGAGAGACACTGCCATAAAGCTTCTCGATCAACGGAGTCGAATACCACCTTCAGGTCGAGAAATATAGCCACTCTTCCGGAAATGGCTACGGTCCTTAGCGCTGCTTTTACAGTAGACTGGAGATGGCACCAAGCTTCTGCTAAGTGAGTGGTAGTGTTTTGTCCCGATAACTGCCTAGCCAACTTCTCACTGAACACGGCTTTGGTGTTTTCGTTGTTCAACAGCACTCGTGGTGGTTTTTATGCCAAATTTCATTTTCGTCCATTGAGACGCAGGTGTATACGCTCTCGGACTACCGCGTGATCGCTGTCCAAATACGTACTCCAGAAGGAGCTTCAGTCTTCCACCGATCCTCTCTAGTAATGACTAATAGCAATGTGGTCTATCTTTGTCCATCGCTGAGTTGAGCTCAGTGGACGCCACGTCAGACAGTATCTTTCTTCATGTCCGAAATTTGTGCTAGCTAAAAACAGGCGGTTATCTGAGCATAGTTGTAGTAGGTGATCACCGTTATCTGTACGTTCAGCCGAGATTCCGAAAGTACCACCTAAGTGCCTTTCTGCCTCACTCAGTCCACCCACCTGTGCATTGAAGTCACCTGCAACAACCACCACGTTCGAACGTTTGGCTTTCGAGAGGAGACTAGACATTTCACAGTAGAACTCGTCCTTCACTTCATGCGAACTGCAGTCAGTGGGTGCGTAAGCAGAGATTACAAAGAGACAACGACGAGTTTCACTATTCCTTTTAGTTCTCACTGTAACGTTCAGTCGGATAGCACAGAGTCGACTATCAACTGGGATCCAATCTAGTAGTGAGTTTTCTGCCCTAGTGCTTAGTGCTCTACCTACACCTGCAAGACCAGGAGAGCTAGCTATCTAATCTCCAGAAACTGGAAGGGTAAATTTCGCGGATTTACCAGATTGGCCGGGAGAAGTCAGGTGAGTAACCGCACTTGGTTTCTGTATGCGTGTCTTACAAACACAGCACACATTCATGCCTCGAGTTGCCAGAATCTTTGTTAACGAAGCCTGTTGACCGATTGGACGTACGGTGTGGATATTGAAGGCCCCGATGAGCGATTTGGAGCGTAGTTTAAGGAGACTAGGGATGCTGTTCTGTGGACTCAGATCGTTGTCGAAGGCTGCAGAGCTACGGGAAATTGAAGATGATGTAGTATTGTAAATTAGGAGACGTGAAGGAATATTGGAAGGTAATAATGGGGGAGATGGAAAATGTTTTGTTCAAAGTGCCGATCCTATCTGGAGGTTTGTGGAGGTTTAATTGTTGGTTTAAGGTTGGAATTCATTACGAACTGACATCAGTTGGAGGAGCATCGGAAACCTGAGAGAATCAGACAGCTCTTTCGTCCTAGAGCAGGACTCCTCAACAGTAGGCACCCTTCGCTTCACCCCACGCCACCCCGCTAGGGATCTAACTCAAAACCTTCAGGTTCCGTGGCCAACATGTTACCACTGAGTCACTGGATCGGAATCTAGTCGTCCATATTTTCTACTTCTGTCACTTCACGATGTAGCGCGACCTCCATCCAATATTGTCGTTGAATTAATTTGACGCTCATTGGTGGCTAGTTTCAAGAGGTGATTCCCGAAGTTCCAATGACAAGTCGTGACCAGTGAAGTCAACCAAGTCGAACATGAGGACAGTTACTGAATATCGACATTGGATGTAAGTTGCGCTACATTGTGAATTGGCAGAGGTAGGAAATAGCGACCATTGGATTTCGATCCGCTGGCTTAATGGAAACATGCTGGCCATGGAACCTGAAGGTCCTGGGTCCGATCCCTTGCGTGGTGAGGTCATGGGTGCGCGCTGCTGAGGAGTCCCATACTAGGTGAAAACAGCTGTCCAGTGCTCGCAGGTTTCAATGTTCTCCCAACTGATATGAGTTCATGATGAATTCTGAGCCAAAAGTTGCAGCTATTAAGAAGTGAAGTGAAGTGACACCAGAATCTATTGAGGATAAAAGTAAAGGTGGTAATGACGATATAAAAGTGCAGAGAATAATCTAACTAAAGGGGAAGTTGAAAAAACAAGAAAAGGACGAAGCACACCAAGACGAAAATAAGTTAACGCCCAGGGTAGAGATAAAGACACAAAGATCAGGCTTCACTTCCTGAATAGCCTGTACTGTTTTTAGACGTTAAAGATAAAGGAAACGTGAGGTGTTTGAGCGAATTCAGCAGACAACTGTAAAGTCATTGTTCGGGTCGGTTGAATAGTTGAAGTCGGTTAAATGTTCAAGGACAGAACTTTTAATACATTTCTTTTCCCCTTTATAAAACCAGGCTGAAATATATTCTCGTATACATGTTGACAGCAAACTCTATGGCCAATGTACCTTGCTCCATGTGAACAGGTGAACTGGTAGAGATACACATTGAAGTGGCCTGTCGACAGATATTTTTACAAACGGAGAATAATTTACAACTAGTTTGGCTAAGAAGAAAGTTTTACTAATTGATCTGGAGATATGATTTTTCAGGATATCTGCGTTATCCTTTTTGTTGTCATTCAATCCTTATGTCATCAACTAGCAACATTATAATAACTATAACCACTATTATTGTTATTTCAACCTCTTATTATTTAAGTTAAATCTTTCTCACGGATTACAGTCTTTAAATATCATATATATAATGCATACGAATGTACAAGTTGAGAATAAATTCATTGAAAAGAGTCCTCTTCTCTGAATATCTTGTTTTTGATATCACACTAGGAATACTGTAGAATAGTAGAATAGTGTAGAATAGAATAGTGTTAAAAGAATAGAATAGTGTAGAATAGTGTTAAAAGGACTTTTCAGACAAGATTGCTCTATGAAATAGTTTGATTTTGAGTTGGTTTTTTTGAGGTGAATATCTATTAGAGTACATCAATAAAATGATATGATTGTTTGTTATTGAGATTCGTTGAGAGTGAGTAAGAGCAGAGTTATTGTTAAATGGTTCTCAACTTACAATATACATGGTTCAGTATAATGTTAGTAATCTTTGTTTACTAAAACACCTTTTAATGTTAAAATTACATCAATATTTCATTGTTATACAATATATTTTATAGGTATTTGGAAAAATTCGAGAGATTGATATTCCTCTTTTGGATCCTGCTCAAAATCTTGATTGTTTAGATGAATATATAAAGAATAGTGATGCTGTTGAAAATTCCCATACTACTACTACTACTACTACTACTACTACTACTACTACTACTACTACTACTACTACTACTACTTTATTATCTAAGACTGTCAACAAATCTGATGAATCACCATTTTATAATGAATCAAATTATTCAAATGAATATGTTGGCGGATTTGGAAAAATTTGTCCTGATACAATAGGTATTTTAAATCCATCTAGCCAGTTGAATGTTAATACTTTATGTACAGATATAGGAATTACTTCTTCAAGTTTATATAATTTGTCAAAATTAAAAAATCCAATGGATTATTAACTAGTTCAACTTCAAATACATCTAATCCACTCACTTTTATGGCATATATACAATATATGGATTATACTGGATTCAGTCGTGCTATGGATATACTACGTGGTCAAAAACTTGTCTATGCTCCTACTTATCGAAATCAATCCACTTCATCTGATCAGAATGAAAAATTGTATTATGCAGCTGAAATTAAGGTAAACTTCCTTCTTTTATGTTTATCTTTATTTTGCTTTGATAAAAGGTAGTATAGAAAATCAACGGAAAATCCCTGTAGAAAACGTATTGAAGATATTCTAAGGTTTTATTTCTACCAAGTTAGGTTTAATTTTTATTCGCTGTTTTGTAATAATGTTATTGATGCCAATAATGACCTCCTTGCTGCCTGCCACCTGTCATCAAGTTGTATACATCGACTGATTTTTGTGATATATCTGATTCACTAGATAAAACTGGGTGGTGAGGGAACTATTACTATTTGTCCCTTGGGTTCCTAGTGGAACATAAGGCTTCAGTAGCACGCCTCCATTGCACTCTGTCCTCTGCAGTCTTTTGAACCTGACGCCACGACTGCCTACAAGCTTTCATTTCTTCCTCACATGATCTCTTCCATGTTACGCTTTTCTCAGACGCCCAACTCGTTGTTTCCCCTTTGGATTCCACTCGAGGGCCTTGCGTATGATGTCCCCAGTTGACTTTCTCAGTGTATGCCCAATTCTTCTCCACTCTCTTCTTCTGCATATTTGTTGGGTGATAGGTTCTTGTTTGATTCGTTCCCAGAGTTCCTTGTTGCTTATTCTTTCTAGCCATCTGAGCTTCAGTAACGAGCGTAGGCGGCAGCTGTTGATGAATTTCTGTAGTTTGTTGGAAGTTGTGAGGGAACTATGGCTCAGCGTTTTAGGCAGAAGACTGTCAACTATTGGGTCACGGGTTCGAGCCATTCCGCACCTACCGAGGTTTGAGCAGTCGTGTAGTATTATTAACCCTCACAATAGGTGTTGCTTATTGCCTACTGCAGGAATGTATACAAAGCAGCTGAGTGCTTTCCTTCACTAAGCAGCGGGAAAAGTAACCGTTCTTTTGTGTGAAACTAGGCTACATAAATTGTGTCAGTCCCTAAACTCAAATACATGATTGATTATGTAATAAAGGCTGATAACTTTTATATTTTATCGCCAATATTCATTCATATTTAAGGTTTAGTTCAATTTAGTTTCTAATATATTCACCAGACGGCTATGTTATTGGTCAATAGTTAACTTTTAATCATGTAATATGGATACATAGAAATTATTGTAACTGTCATGTACTACTTTCATTTGACAAACAGATCAACGTAGAACCTTTTACAGTAGGGCATCGGTTCAGATTTTTATGCTTTAAAATATCACCTTAAAGTAAATAAACAGAATAATACTAATATTGAAGTGATCAAGATGCGTTTCAAGTCAGAAAATGATGAAGAGTGTATCAACTTTCAATATTGTAATCGACTTTGAATCATGCGACTTAGAGTCTTTAACTATTGTGGACCCCAACCAGTTAGCTTACATTTTCCTATATGGTTAACACCAACGGTTGAAGATTTTATAGATTGGCACTATATCTTGGTTTAGGATTCACTGGTCTAGATATTCGACTTTCAACTTGTAGGTCATGGGTTCCAACCGAGTACTGTCGTCAGTTCTCACATAGTGGATATAGTTAAATTGAACAGTACACGAATATGAAGATGGTTGCAGAGACAGGTGTGTAACGCATGATTTTGTCACCTAATTCGGCGAATATTCACAATCTCATCGACCAACTTACCTTCCTTGATTAGAGCTGTAAACCTAACCTCAACATTGGTCACTTTAATCTTATTCAACCAGATACATGTGCATTTACCAAGTTATGAGCCTCTCTTATTGTGTTATAAAGGTTTATGATAATAAGCATTTGCTCACGCCGAGGTAAGTGGAACGGTGTTCGAACCTGATGATAGACAGAAAGACAGACAGCGAAAATTAACGTGTAACCTCGCACACAAGTGCATCGGTTCAAGTTGTCACGCTCCACAGTGGTACACAAAGAACAAGTAGGTAGAAAAAGTGATATCAAAGTAGGCAGAGTTGTATAATTCCACCAAACGCCAGCAACACTGAGAAGATATCTGTAGTCAAAAACCTATAACCACTTCGTACTTTCTACTTTTAATGGCCATCTCACAGCTGTATAGTCGGATAGAATAGATCGCAGTGTCATATATTCATTGCTTGATAGATAAATGGATATCTCGTAAGTTGGTGCCAAAGATGACGTAAGTTGGAAAGTGCCGATTGGGCCTTAAATATCCGAGCTGAAATTTCGTCAGCAACCAACTTTCAAGTAAGTGAAGTGGTCCACACATTCCACAACTTCACCCCCGTGTCATTAAATTGAGAGTTCTTGCAGCAGACTAGTCCTGGAGGATCATTTATCATTTGACATCTTGTTTGACTTTCTACCGATTAATTAAAGTATTGGGAAAAAGAAGCACAACTCACTAATGAATGTATTTCTTTGTAAATGAATAAAAGTCTTTACGATATTAAACATCATTCCAATTTACAATCTTAAAAGCATTAATCTCTTTGAAGTGACATTCAATCTGGTTTGTATTTCTATAAGTCAAAGACTGTTTGAAGTGAAATAATTCCAACATTTCTAACGGAAGTCTAGTTTAAGCTTCTGTGCGAAACATTGGAATTATTTCATGTCAACCACCACCTACTCCACTGCCCAATATTTGTGATACTATTCAATAAAAACTTGATCATAGTCCATATAAAATATTTTGATGTGATCTAAAAAAAAACACGGTTTTACAGTGATAATCTATGCTATTCAACAAAGCGATTCGATCTAGTATAACCGCGGAGAATTACAAGTATATCAAAATATCGTAAAAACTAATATCCGTTGTACAAAAAAGAGTTATTGTACCTTAGTGGCCTAGTGGATAACGCTTTGGCGTCTGAAGCGATGTGTACTTGATTCGAGTCTCAGTGGGAACAACATCACTCATTGGAGTGCATGTACATCCAGCTAACGAGTCTCAAGTAAGACAAAATGCGTGTCCTGGGTTCCTGTGCTAGCCACAATCAAGTAAATTACCATAACAAATATTCAGGCAATATCGAGGCATCCACATAGGAGCCCATATGCCAACAGAAGCGGAACAAGTCGATTCAGTAAAACAACAGAGAATTACAAGTATATCAACAAATAGTTAGAAGCCTAGATATTCTAAAAAATCTTCAAATAAATATCTGCTTATGAGAACAAAATAAGAGTTCTTATCAAGAAATCATACTAAATTCTATCTGGAGGTTTCTGAAGGTTTATTAGTTGATTTTTTAGGTTGGCATTCATCATGGACTGATATTAGTTGGAGGATCATTGGAAATCTGAGGGCACTGGACAGCTGTTTCGTCCTAGTATGGGACTCCTCAGCAGTTGGCACCCATAACCTTCATGCTCTGTGGCCAACACGTTACTATTGAGCCACCCGGTTGGAATCCGATAGTCCACATTTCCAACTTCTGTCAGTTTATGACGTAGCGTGGGATGCATCCAATGTCATCGTTGAGTAACTGTCCTCATGTTTGACTTGGTTGACTGCGCTGGTCACGACTTGTCATTGGAACTTCGGGAATCACCTCTTGAAACTAGCCACCAATGAGCGTCAAATTAATTCAACGACAATATTGGATGGAGGTCGCGCTATATCGTGAAGTGACAGAAGTAGAAAATATGGACGATTAGATTCCGACCCAGTGACTCAGTGGTAACATGTTGGCCACGGAACCTGAAGGTTTTGAGTTAGATCCCTAGTGGGGTGGTGTTGGGTTGAAGTGAATGGTGTGTAGTGTTGAGGGGTCCTGCTCTAGGACGAAAGAGCTGTCTGATTCTCCCAGGTTTACAGTGCTCTTCCAACTGGTGTCTGTCCATGATGAATTTCAACCTAAGAAATTAAAGGACTAAATACCTTTTTTACACAAAGTATATAGTCAAGTTAACTTATTCGTACATAGTAATCTTGTCTTTCTGTGCAATCGAAAATGAATTACATAATCCCTTGTAAGTAGGGTTGATGGCATAATGAAAGTTTATCGTTATCATCATGAACACCTAATTAATCATTACCGTGTACAGTCAAGAGGAAGAAAGGTAAACATAAGTCATGCTACTGATGTAATAGTATCGTCAATAGCCCTTACATAATATATAGGTGTGGCTCACTGTCAACTGCAAGATTTGTGAGTAGTGAATTCCAGTTGACTATTTTTAAACAATCCAACGACACTGTCCTCAACATTAGTTATAATAGTTGTAGGCTGCGTCTAATAAGGGACTATAGATGTACATCACTAAGGAAGGCGTTATAAGCTAGAAGGAAACAGCTTTTCAGTGTTCTATAATTTTCAATAATTCTGTAACTATGATAATTTAGTTGGTTGTGGCTAGCAGAAGAATCCAGGACGCGCGTTGTACCCGTTGTACAAGAAGTGGCTATCGTTCCTCCGTGGCATAGTGGATAATGCCTTGGCGTTTGAAGCGATGCGTACGAGGTTCGAATCCCAGCGGGAACAACATCACTGAGGTGCAGGTACATCCAGCTGACGAGTCCCAAATAGGACGAAACGCGCATCCTGGATTCTTCTGCTAGCTAAAACCAACCAAACCATCATAATTAACATTCAGGTAATATCGAGGCATCCGCACAGAAGCCCATATGCCAATAGAGGTCAAATAATTCGATCCAACAAAACAACGGAGAATAACAAGTATGTCAGTAATTAGTAATTCTGTAACTAGGTTATAGATTCATGACTTCAAAAGCTTCCCAATCATACATTTCAGTTACTTCGTTAGTTCCCTTCTACTGAAACCAACTTTAACCAATGCACTTTTGTGTAGTATTCTACTGTTACAGCCATCTGTATGTCTCGACATATCGAAGTTTCTGTTTCTTAGTATTATCCTACCTGCTTGATTCAAATCTAGTCCTTATGGTTCTATACTGTAGTTTAATTAGTAACTGTTTTCTGTTGTTGTTGTTGTTTTATTTAGCCTAAATATATAACACTTTGTCTGCTGTTGATGAAAAGTTTAACAACTAAACTATACATACCTGATGAGGTCAGTATTCTTACTTTTTCAACACACTAGT